CACCCCAAACACGAAGAGTTTGACATCAACAGCCCCTCTGTGACATGGTGGTCAAGTGAAGTGCAATATGCACTCAGCACACACACACACGCACACAGGGGGCGCGGCCGGACGCGGCATCGCCCATGCACCGCGCATCCTTGCGCACCTCACCTCCACCCGCCCCGCCTCGCCACGTCCGCCGCGAGTAAGACGCGAGCAGAGCTGCCAGAGCCAGCGGCAGCAACAGTAGTAGACAACATGCTGCCAGCCGCAGACATAGAGCGCGCGCGCGTCTATCGCGCTTCGCCCCCGACCCACTCCACTCGACTCCCCCCATCTATGTCTCTCTTCTCTTCCCCCTTCTCCCCTCTCTCTGGCGCCCTAAAATCCCTTTGCCTATGCCAATGAGAGCTGAGCCCGGGCTGTGAGCCCACTTCCCTTTCCCCCCGGCCTGCACCGTCACCAATAAAATGTCAGACTTAATTGGGCGCAGCCGAGGCCGGCGGGGTGGGGGGGTTGGGGTGAGGCGCTGCGGGTGGGGCACGTTGAATAAGAAAGAGAGAAGCGTACGTAGCAGTGCGTCTCCACGCTCTACTCGGCTCCTCTCGCAGGCAGTGGTGCCACTCTGTCACCTTACTCGCTCCGCCTGCTCTGCTCTGCCCCGCTCTGCCCCCAGGCCAGGAGAGAATGCTGTGTGCAAATCAGCCCCATTTACCCCACCTCACGTCTCCCCGCCGCCCCCGCCCGGGGCACCCCACCCCCGGGGCGAGGCCGGGAGCGGGCGGCGGGGCGTGGCGAGGGGCCTAAGTGGCCGCGCACCTGCTCGCCGGCCGGGAGGGCCGATCGGCTGGGTCGCGCCTCACTTGCCACTGATGGGGTCGAGCAGCAGCAGCAGCAGCGGGGGGTGCGCACTGCACGTGGGGTCCACGTGTCCGGGAGCCGTAAAATGAGAGAAAAAGTAAGAGAAAAAACGAGGGAAAAACTTTCCAGATCCGGTTCAGCAGAGCAGTCGAACCCTCCACCTCCAACACTACTGTACCGTAAACCCAAGTGTTAGGATGTCGCACGCTTGTAGATGTGTGGGTGCCATTCGTACGCGGGTTTGTGAATTTCAAATGATAATTCACAACCTTACTTCCTTTAATGTAAGTTTTACTTACATTACAGACATTACAAGCAGTGAGCGACTCCTTGCATTTCCAGTGTGTGCGACTCTGAACGCCATTCACCTATACTCGATCGACACCACCATTGACCGCCATTGACGGCTTCATCAGCCGTGACTTACTCGCCGTCGATAATCACCACATCTCTGCCTGCAAATCATAACTCTCGGGTCGCTCGCCGGCGGCGCGCGCGAGTGATGGGCACGGCGCTACCGGGGCGAGCGGTGTGCCAACAGAGTGACTGCCGGACGGATATTGTGTGGAGTGCGGGAGTGAGTGAGTGATTGAGGTTATGGGTTATGTGAGGTGGGCTGCTGCGGCCCCTGTTGCTGCTGCTGCCGCCGAGCCCCTCCCCAGCCCGGCCCGCCCGGAGGCGCCCCCCGGCCGCCTCGGCCGCAGGCGCGCCGCCGCTGTCACTCCCGCGTACTTTATAGATATGAAAAACACGTCCGCCTTTCCGAGAAACGCGAGTCGCGGCGGCGAGTCGTTCGCTAGACTGTAATCCCATATCCGCCGCGACCTCGCCCCGGCCGGGCGCGCCGCAGTGAAGGGACTCGACGCGGAACTGGAGCACGAGGAGCAAGGACTCGAAATTATTGCGGGGCCGATCAAAAACGCATGAGAGCGCGCCGCTCTCACAATTATTACTTTCATTATTATTTTTTCTACTCCCGGCTGTGGCGGGCGGTGGCGGTTAAGGAAAAATGGAAACATTTTATAGGACCGTGGAATAACTCTGCGAGGTGAGGGGATTTGCACCTAATAATCACGCTACGGTGGGCGGCCGGCCGACCCCCGACTGGACCCGACCGCTGCTTGGGACTGACAGGGTCGGCACGGGGTGGGGCAGGGCGAGGTGGGGTAAGCGGGGTGGGGTATGGCGGGGTGGGGCAAGGCGGGGTGGGGTGAGGCAGGCGAGGCGTCCCCGCCGGGGGTGGGGCTCCCCTCCTTTATTAATCATGCACACGGACCACCCCATTCAGACCGCATCACGCTGCTGGCTGCAGCTGCAGCGGCGGACACTCTGTCCGGCTGCACCAGAGTTTAGAGCGTCCCGCGTGTGATCCGGATTTGGAACCCCCTCGCCAAAAGCAATGACTCGCGAACAGAATGGAACACCCGGAGCGCAAGCGGCTTATCGGAAAGCGAGTATTTGCAAAAAAAGAAAAAAAGAAAAAGAAAATGCTGAAAAAACTCTACAGCCATGGCACGACATTCCGTTTCCGAAACGATCATTATTCATAGCCTACTCTTTTTAATATCCGTTGTTATTGATGTTGCTGTATTATTTTCGTTGTCGGTACTTTTAATGCCGAGTCACCCCTTGCCGTACCCCGCCGCCCCGGCCGCCCGCTAGAGCGAGCGCGCGGAGCCCTTTCAATATTTTCACCATGAATCAGCCCCGTGCACGGCATCCTCCTCCGACAGGATTTGAGAGGAGAGAGGGGGAGGAAGGGAAGTATAATTATTATCATCCAAAGCCACCCACCCACCCTCGCCCCGCTCCAATCCCCCGCTATCTGACGGTCCCGATGAGGTTCCCCCCTTATCCCCCTCACCCTGACTCCACCCGCCCGTGTCGCATTGTACCCCCAGCACCATTGTGCGGGTAACAAACACCACGCCGGCCTTAGGGACACCCGCATTACCTGAAGCGACAAGAGGAAGGGGGCAAAAAAAAAAATGACACCTTCAGCGTACTGTACACCCCCTGAACACCCAGTGGGGGCGACTAGAGACTGAGTGACATTGCTGCTGTGCTGTGAGTGCGTTGGCACGCACACAGAGCAGCAGAGAGCAGAGGGACACACTGTGCTCGGTGCAGCAAGCGCCTCCGCCTCCACTTCATGCAAGAGCTCGCAAACACCATCATCGCCACTTGGTAATGCCTGCCCCCGACCACCCTCCTCGTGCAACCCCCTTGCTTATAGTCTCCCTCTGTGCTGCAGCGGCAGAACCATTTAGTCTCTCTCTCTCTCTCTCTCTCTCTCTCTCTCTCCTAAGAACTCCGACACATTGCACCAGACCACTGCACTGTAAGTTCAAGCGTTCACAAGTTTTTCTGTTTCATCTGCATTTTTTCTTTTTTTTCCTGAATTTTTCCTTATTGATTGATTCTTGTTTATTTTTCTGATTTCTGAGGATGTATACTGACTATTTTTGGTGTGCCGCTCTGGCCCACCCTGCTCGCTCGCACCACCCTTTCCCTCCGCCTTGACGCAATGTTTTCGCACGCGACGGGCGCGTCAACGCGGACAAGCAGGCAATGGCCTCCCAAACAAGGAGCCGCCGCCGCCCGCCGCCTGCGCGCTCCCCGCCCGACCTCGACCGATCTAAGCGATCACCGCCAGCCCTTAGGGGGTGTGGCGGGGCGAGGCGGGGCGAGGCGGGGCGTGGCGAGAGCGTACACGTACGAGCACAACGCATGTGGGTGCACTCGAGTGCTGCTCAGCAGAGTGTTATTGCAGTCGCCGGGCGGGGCGGGCGGCGCGGCCCGGGTTTAAATGCACCGGGGAAAATGATCACCGGCAACACATCCCCAGGAGGACGCACTGCGATCAACGCGGCGCGCGGGGGCGGGCAGAGTGCAAACACGGCGAGCAGTGCATGCAACAGCAAGGGGGGGGGGAGAGAGAGAATGAGAGAGAGAGAGAGAGAGAGAGAGAGAGAGAGAGAGAGAGAGAGACGAGGGCGCCGCGCCGCGCAGGTCATCAGGGCGCATCCCATCCCATCAGAGCAGAGTCAGTGCAGTGCTGCGCCGCCACAATGCCCTCCGCGCTCCGCAGTCGCAAATAAAGGTTCTGCTGCCTCGTGACAAATTGCACGTACGCACACGTACTGTGTGTGTGCGCGTATGTTTGTGTGTGTGTGTGTGTGTGTGTGTGTGTGTTGTGGGGCGTGGGTAGCCCGCTGTACACGACATACCTCCGCCGTGTTATTGTCTTGTACATCGAGTCGCATTATGAGCGCGCGCACAGCAGATGGCATCTCCAGCGCCATGGCCATGTAGGCCTCCTAGGCCCAGCAGCAGGCGCGAGCGCGCCCGGCCCGGGCCCGCACCCCGCCTCCACCACCACCACCCGCTCGCGACACAGTGTTGCAGTGAAAGGGTTCGTAGCGCTATAGCTATCGGCGCGCCATTTACAGACTGACAGTCGAGTGAGCATGTGCGAGTGTGTCTCAATTGTAAGCTCAGTGGTGTCGATCCACTTCACTATAGAACACCCACCCCCGTCCCTTTCCCCTTATGCCCCGTCGACTGACCCCTTGCGCCACTCTCTAATGCAGACGACGATGACGATGAGTATAACCTATATATCCCCTTCGTTCGCTGAATACACGGTGTAGAGAGATACGGTGGGGACACTGGGCCGCTCCGGGCCTACCTGGCTGAATACCGTCTACCTCCCTCTCCTTTTGAACGGTTCATTTACTGTACTTTTTTTCCCGAACGCAATCGGCGGCGCCAGCCGCATAGCGCCCTGCCCCGGCCCGCCCGCAGGGGAAACCGAGCTGCAGCACTGAGTGCGTGTCAGACTTGTGTTGTGTGATTGCGAGAATCTATCATTGTTGGATCGGCCGCCCTCCGCACGCCTCGCTCGCCTGCTCCTGCGCTGGTCCGCAGCTGCTGCACGCGGCCCGCCCCACCCCGCCCCGCCCGACCGCACTCTGCGGGCTATAAAAGTCGGCGCCTTGTCAAATGCGTGATCAGTCCGATGCGTGCGAGATTGCCTCTGACCCGGGTCGTTGTTATTTCGATATCAGAAGAAGGTGTTACGTATAGCGCGGCGATAGAGCACAATGGCGATGCGAGGCGGGGCGGGGGGCGCCACGTCATCGCGAAAGATTTCGTGCGAAAAATCCATATACTTTGCGACCGCTCACGCCCCGCAGCTCCTCCTCCTCCAGTCAGGGGTATTTATCAATTGCTCTGACATTTCGGCGGCTCGGTTCGCGGTTCGATCGGGACGACGCCTTGCTCTCGCCTCGCCGCGGAGCATCCTCTTTGTCACGTGTTGCCCGCGGCTATCAGGAGCGCATCGGCTTGCCCAACCTCGGCGGGACGAACCGGAGCAAGGCCGATGGC